AATTAAAATAAAAACAAGATCACATGCGTAATAGATTTCCACAGGTGTCTCTGCTTTAGTGTGAAGGAACTAGCAATATCAACATGACAGATCAGAGAACCCTGCTACCCTCCCCACCCACTCTCTGGCCAACGGAACGTAGGAAAAAAGAAAGAAAATAAACAAGAACAAACTACAGATCAAGGGGGACACTGCTTAGAAAAGAAATATTTCAGGCACCGCACCCCATGAATGGGAACTGTGGAGAACCGTGCAGGAATTGCCAGGAAGTAAGCAAACAGCTCCAGGCACCATTAGAGGAAGACAAGGACTCCTCGAGAGACCTGCAAATAGCCCAAGGCCAGCTGGTAACCTTGTGCAGAAAAATGATGCACTCTAGAAAAGCCTACGTGTATCGGGCCTACCCTGGCAGCACAGGCAGTTGAGCACAACACTGTGGAGCTGAACACAGCCTCTGCAGTGCGGGTTCCATCCCGGCCAGCAGGCGAGTGTCCCACATGGCATGCAGGCCTCTCCTGTTGCGCCCACTGCTCCCCTCAGCAGTGTATTTCGTCAGTCTGCGTTTTCTGCTCCCTGCTCTCTCTCTGGTGAATCTTCTCACCCTCCCATGCATCTGGCCTGTACCACGGTTCTTGTATAAATAAATAAATAAATAAATCTTAAAAAAAAATATGTGTATCACAACTGCCCATGTCCCTGCGCCCACAACCTAGGTTTGTGGGGAGATGCACTGGAGCTGTCACTGAAGTGAATGTCCCTCCCTCAGTAATCAGAAACCAGGCGCCCAGACATGGGAGCGGGGTGCAAAAGGTACCATTTCTGCGGACACTGAACTGGGCTACCGCCCGCGGCCTGTATCTGAGGGCTTCAAAACTGAGAACCTGGACACGAAATTCAGGGTGTGGGATCCCCACGATGGTGGGGCACAGGGAAGACACGGCACCCCCACGCTGCTGAGGTGCTCCACGACACTCCCACTCTGTTCCGTAGACCCAAGGACACTGGGGAAGAAAGATCTCTGGTGCCACCTAGCGAACAGAGCAAAATCACCAACATCCTGATAGTTGGAAACCAGGGATCCCAAAAACACACTCAGGCTCTGAGAAAGGATGGGCCATGCAAACGAGGCTAAGAAGGGAAATAAGGCATGGAGAAAGACCCCCCATTCTGGAACTGAGATTGAGGCGCAGGATCCAAGATGAGGGACGCACCATAGAAGCAGGCACTGCAGAGTGACAGCCAGCGTTTTGGATCTGATAGCCCTGGAATGGAGACCTACAGCACAGAATTCAGGCTACGGGATCCATATAGTTGTGGGCACAGCACCCGGTGAAAATGGGGCAGACAAAACACCCAGCTTGAATAAGAGTCCCTGTGTTGAGGTGCTCCCCTCCGCCCCTTCTCCATTTCTCAGAGAACCACTGGGAAAAAGCACAGGTCAGCAAGTATGGTCTCTGAGGCAGTAATCAAAGCACTCCCCAAAGACAAAAGCCCAGGCCCAGAGAGCTTCACAAATGAATTCTACCAAATATTCAGCAGTGAATTAGTACTTATCCTACATAAACTATTTCAAAAAATTGAAAAGAAGGAATACTACCAAATATGTTCTACAAAGCTGACATTGTACTAATACCAAAACCAAACAAAGACAGCACAAAAAAAATAATATTACAGGTCAATCTCCCTAATGAACACTGATGTAAAATTCCTCAACGAAATCCTGCCAGCAGAATCCAGCAATGCATCAAAGGGATAGTACACCACGATCAAGTGGGATTCAGTCCAGGGACACAAGGATGGCTCAACATATGAAAATAAGTGTAATCCAACACAGTAAGACATCAGTGTAAAAAAAATAATAATAGCAGTACAAAATACAACAAAGTGGGTCTCCCCGGTGGCGCAGCAGTTGAGCGCTGGGCTGTGAAGCTGCCCACAGACTCTGCAGCACTGGTTCAATCCCCGGCCGCCAGTGAGGGTCACACATGGCGCGCAAACCTCTCCTGCCGCCTGCTGCTCCCCTCAGCAGTGTACCTCGGTCCTTCTGCCTGCTCTGCTCCCTGCTCTGGCTCTGGTGAATTCTCTCACCCTCCCGCACTGCTGACTGTACTCAGTGCTTGTATAAATAAATGAATAATACTTAAAAAAAACACAACAAAGCATAATCAGACAATTATAAATCAGAGACATCCTGCAGTGGAGGAGGAGGGGGAGGGATAATAGGGAGGGAGGGAGGAGCACAGGGGACTGAGGTGATGGTGCACGGTGCCTTGGGAAAGGATATTCTATGGGGACTCATCCTGAGGGGGTGGGGGAAAGCAAATATTGTTTCAAAATAAAAAAAAATATATGTATTGTAAAATGTTAGTGTAAAAAAAAAAAAAAACAGATAACAAGAAAAAGTCATGAATTTCTCTCTGACTCCCTTTATGTCATAATATTTTAGGGATGAGGATGTGTACCTTCCCTTTTTAAACAATTAGCAGTATTTTAAATTTCCTTGCAGATTTTCCCCACTGCCCTCTAAATACTTCCATTAAATGTGATTTCATGTAACATTATATACTTTCAACTCAGAGTGCTAAATGTTAAAAAATTAGTTATGGAACAATAATGTCCTACATACCCTAGGTCAGAATATTATAAAATAATAAATGAATGAAAGATAATAATCTTGGAACACCTTTAATTAAGATTATCCCAGAACAACATTGGCATTCTGAAACTGAACCATAATCCACCTTTATAATTTATTAGTTTCCATTCATAAGATGAATATTCTAGCTACTGTTCTCCTGAAATACAATATGCATTTTGAAGTGATACTGTGTTGTAAAACAGTGTTACCTCAATAAAGAAACAAAGTCACCATTGGAAACACACACAATAACATAAATATTTCATGTTGAAATGCCAACACTTTGATGTATGGGTTAAACAGAAAGTCAGTAAATTAAAAATTAAGATTTAAAAAACTTACTTATTAAAATTATTTGAGAGACACCTCAGTCTGGTGTGACACACCCGCTGTCCCAGAAGTTTGCTTCCCACAAAATTCTCGCCCTCACAGAGACAGGAGGAAAAGCAAACCTCACTTGATGTCCCGGTCACCCGCTGCCCTCTGCTGTGCTGGCCTCTGGTGTCCAGGCCTCTGGCTCTCAGACTCCAGCAGACAGGCCGCAGGGCTCACTATCTCCTTCTCCTACTGGCCCCCAGGCCCTGACACCATCTCCAGGTCCCCTTCCTCAGGGAACTCACCCTGAGGGGACCAGGTGTCCCTTGTCCCCATGGACTTCTTAATGGTGTCCCCAGTAACGAGCCTCCTGAGTCATCAGCACAGCCAGGGGGGTCACAGGAGACTCCACAAGCAGGACTGTGGTTCCCCCTCCTCAGGCTCCATCAGCCTCCAGTGAGTGGCCATGGGGACCCAGGTGTGGCCCTGTTATCAGAGCCACGTCCACAGGGAACTGCAAAGTCACCATCATCCCCTGTGCTCCCTCCATGGGGAAACCTGCAGAGGCGGTTGTGAAGAGGTTGGGGAAGGAGGGAAATAAAGTAGGATGGACCTAAAGGAGAAAGGAAAGCAGGAAGGAATACAAAAAGAAATTCAACATAACTGAACGATAGATGGGAAGAAAACAAACTTCTGAAGTAGAAATGGTTCATGTCATCACAAAGTTACCATGTGTGTGCTTTGGTTTATTTTTTAATGGTCTGTTCTCAGCATCTACAAGTCTTCTTTGAATCTGAATCGCTACTGCTGGTGAGTGTGTCCTTTATCTTCACAAGGAGAGGGGCCATTGCAGTTGGAGTGGTTCTGGTGGATGGTTCTTCATGGTTTGAGATTCCTGGGGTTTGATGTCATGACTATTGTGTCTTCAAATACATGGTAAGAGGCCTTTTGTGGGTGGCCTTCACTGTGTGAAATGCTTGGAATTCAGAGTGATGCTGCCCTAATACCACCTCATCCCTTGGCTTACATATGCACATCCCCAAAATTCTCTGGGCCCGGGTGTCCACACTCACATGCACATGTACAAGACTTTGGGTGCCAGCCACAGAGGCTAATGGCAGGAGGGGGGAAAGCCTGACTTTACCTCATATACCCTCCAACCCGCCACTTCAGGATTTTTTCACCTCTACCTACTGCCTGGCACAGCCACCCTGTGGCTCTGGGAGTGCCTGGCAGCAGATTAGTTTGCTTTAAGCAACCAAGGATGACAGGCCCATCCTTTGATCTTCATCTCCTGTGGTGGGCAAATTATTCTGTCCACCACAGGTCCCAAAGTTCTCCGTCTTGTGGCAGGATTGTTTGTGGAAGTCAGTCAGTGTCATCTTTGTCACTGGGCAAGCTTTGGATAATGGATGGGGTCCCCTTTTTTTCCTGACAAGTCTGCTGCCTCAGGGGTATGGCGGGCTGGGCCTTGCAGGGTTTTCTTCTCCTCCCCACAAGGTCCAAGATGATTCCCAGGGCTTGTCCTCCATCTCCCAGACCTTGTCCACTTTCTGTGCTCCTGCAGCATCTTTAGCTCTTCTTGGACTTTGGCCACCACCTGTCTCCATCAACTCTGTGTTGTCTTTCACTCCA